GCGGGCGGCGGCCCCGTGCGGAACCGGCCGGTGATGGCCCGGGGCGGCGGCAGAAACCGGCCCGCGCCCTACAGCCGGGTACGGATCGGGCGGCCGGGGCTCGGGCCGGGGCGGCGCGACGGGACGGGACGGCGGGTCCACGCGAGGCGGCGGCGCGGGCGGTCCTTTGTCCGCTCCCGGCGCGGCCGGGGGGCTGCGGGGCCCCGGCGCCGGTCAGCGAGGTCCCGGTCTTGTTGCAGCCGAAGCAGCTCCCCGAGAAGTGGCAGCACGACCTGTTTGACAGCGGCTTCGGGGCGGGGGCCGGCGTGGAGACCGGCGGGAAGTTGCTCGTCTCTAACCTGGACTTCGGCGTCTCGGATGCGGACATCCAGGTGGGGCTCGGGGCGGCGCCGCGGGGGGCGCGGGAGTTTCATTCATTCCGCCAGAGTCGGGTGCCCGCGGGAGCACCGCCGGCTCCGCGCCCTCCTGCACCCGGGGCCGAGGATTCCCGGGTGAATCCCCCGTGACGGGGTTTGTGCCGCGGGTGCCTGTCTTGGCGCGGGCCCGGTGCTCCCGAGGGGGCTGGAACAGCCGGTTTATAGATGCTTTGTGAGGGGCTGAGCCGTGGCACACGCGGGAACGATGCTGCGCCTCGACTGGTTGGAGCCGAGACTGGAGAATTCCCTGTGAGCTCTGAGCTCCTCTCTGTGCAGCTGCAGCCCTCTCTGAGGTGCCGCGTGTGCATCCAGGGCTCTGCTGCTGTGTGGGATCGTGTCCTGCTGGACACTGAGGGGTTCCCTGGATGCACGGGGGGGGTGACCAGAGAGGTGTCCCATGGCCGTGCCCCGGTCAGAGCCCGCAGTGCCCGCAGTCGGTGCCTCTGCCCTGGGGACTGGACCGGGGGAACGTGTGGTCCCTGTGGGCCCTGAGCTGGGTGCCAGGTGTGTCCCCCCGGGGGCTCCTGGCCTGGGTGCACTACAGGGCACAGCCATCACCATGGGCTCTGACCTCATGTCCTCATCAGGGAAAACCAAACCCCTGCTGTCAGACCTCCCTCACCATCCTTCAGTCTGGTCCTTCCAGCGCTGCTCTGGCTGGGCTGGGGAATGAAGGGAGCTCTGTGGGGTCACCCAGGAGCATGCTGGATACCACTCTTTTCCTGCCGTGTTTCCATTTCCATTCCTGCAGACTGGGTGTAAATCAGTCCCTGTCTGTTGCAGTGAGGCCGGGGTGTAAAATGTGGCTCTGAGCAGCCCCTGTGCTTGGTGTGTGGCAGGACTCGCCTTCCTGCCCCTGCACGAGCTGCCTGGGGCTTTGTTTAACAGCAGAGCTGACTCAATGGCTTTAGCCTTATTTGTTCCTCCCAGCCCCATCATTTAGTGCTGCCTTAGGTGTGGGGTTGGTTTTGTTGCTCTGCTAATTCCTCGTGATGTGGTGTGAGTGGCTGAGGCAGCTGTGGCCGTGGAGGAGCCGCGCGGTGTCACTGCCCGTGTCCCTGCGGTGGGAGCAGCTGGGCCTGGGCTCTGGGCATGGCTGGCATGGCCTTGCTCGGGCTGGAAGGTGGCTGCTGGGTGCCCTGTGCTGGGAGCACCGTGCCTTGGGCACGGGTTGGCATGGGCAGGGCTGGGCAGTGATGCCCAGCGGCAGCTCCCTGGGCCCCCGCGGGACAGCCCTGGTGGGAAATTTATCGTGGTGAGTTGTCCTCGTTGACTTCCCAAGTGTAGCACCTGTGAAACAAAATTGGTGGCTTCATTGCTGCCTTTTCCAACCTTTGTGTCAGCAAAGGACAGACCTCAGCAGGGGACTTTGCTGGTCTCAGGTTTTGGGGTATGTTCCTAATGGGCACAAGTAAAGCACAGTGCAACTGCCATCATCTCATGGATTCCTGTGCTTACATGGCTCATTCTCTGTGAGAAGGATGTCTGGCATGCGGAGTACTTTCAATAGTTGCCCCTTTGACTCGGCCTCAACAAACACCCTTAGTTTCTCTGGGAAAAGAAACAGATTGGCACCCCTTGAGTCTGTTTGACTGGCTGTAAATGTGCTCCTTCAGGAGGTGAATGCAGAGCCCTGCTTGGTTTTGCCACATGTAGCAACTCCCAGAAACTCCCCAATGGGCTGTGCTCCCCTCTGCCATTGGCGTGTTCCCAGGCAGTCTGTAGTGGTTGGAAGGGCACTGGTGCTCACCAGGCGTGGCTGTGTGGGGAGCTGCCGTGTTGGCAGCGCTGACGGACAGGCACACTCCTCTCTCTGTTGTTCTCAGGAGCTCTTTGCAGAGTTTGGGACCTTGAAGAAGGCAGCTGTGCACTATGACAGATCTGGTCGCAGCTTAGGGACGGCGGACGTGCATTTTGAGAGGAAGGCTGATGCTCTGAAGGCGATGAAGCAGTACAACGGGGTCCCCTTGGATGGTGAGTCTCTGGGCCGTCTCCATGGCCTGTTTCTGTGGCTGGAGTGGAGCAGCCGGCACGTGTCCCTCGTTCCCTCCCTCCCCTCCTCCCAGCCGTGTCCTGCACAGGCTCAGGGGTGCTCTCCCTCCCTCCAGGGCGCCCCATGAACATCCAGCTGGTGACATCACAGATCGACACGCAGCGGAGACCAGCACAGAGGTGGGGAACCCCTGCCCCAGGCACAGGGGGGGACCTGCTGGGCCCCTCCCCAGCGGGGAGAGTGGGTCCTGTTTGAGTTCACTGAATGCACTAAAACAGTTGCTTTTTAAAACTCACAGTGTAAACAGAGGTGGCATGACCAGAAACCGTGGGGTCTCAGGGGGATTTGGAGGTGGAGGCAACAGGCGAGGGACTCGTGGCGGGAACAGAGGGAGAGGCAGAGGAGCTGGAAGAACTTCCAAACAGCAGCTCTCTGCAGAAGAACTAGATGCACAGCTGGATGCTTACAATGCCAGGGTAAGTGCTGATTGGGCACTGTCACAGGCTCTCTGCAGCGTCTCATCCTGGGCAGCACTGGCAGCCTGGAGCTGGCAGGAAAGGGAAAGTGTTTTCCAGGACCTTGGACTGAAGCAGTCTCTCTCTGAAGCTGAGCTGTGCCTTGGCCCAGGCCTTGGCTTCGCTTTCCAGAGCACATTGTTACCTGCTGTTACTGATGGCTGAGGAACAGCCTCTGCTCCTGCCGGGCTGGGACAGCTCCTCCAGAGCCAGAACCGCTGCAGAACAAAACCCGCAGAGCTGAGAGATGCAAGAGCGGGAAAGCAGAAGGGAAAATCCCATGTGGAAGAACTGTGTGGGGTGCTGCCAGGGGAAGGCTGCAATGCTGGTGGTAGAAATGAGCCCCAGTGTGGGGAACTGCTTGCCAGTCCCAGCCTTCAGACCTCGCTCAGCCGTCTGTGCCATGGCCAGGTCAGAATCCCAACAGGGCCAAGGCCGCGAGGGCACCACACCAGCACAGTCGGTGCAGGGCCGGGACAAACCAGGGCGAGAGCATGGAAGGATTGGCATGAGCAGGATTCCAGAGGCAGCCGTGGGGCAGTGCAGGGGGCTGGGGCTGTGGGGGGGCTGCCAGGGGGGCTCAAACCTGCCCTCCCCGTCCCACAGCGCTGGGGGCTCCACCAGGGCCAGGTGGGCTGCGTGCAGGGGGTGCTGGGGGGGTACCAGGGGGTGCTGCAGCATGTGGTGATGGTTCCCTCTCTCCCCAGATGGACACTAGCTAAAGCAGCAGTGGCGGGCGCAGGGAAGGACTCCGATCTCGCTCCACACTCCCCGCGGGGGCTGCGGCTGTGGCTACTACTACCGAGGATGGGATTTGTTTTACTTTTATGTTCTGGGATAGGTTTTAACTCCTGTAAAGGTTTTTTTTAATTCTGAGCAGACCTGTTTTGTACCGAGTTATTTTTGGGATAAATTTTTCTGGTTGCCTGTTGGGCTGAGGTGGCTTTTTCACCTTTGCCATAATAAAATAGAACCGTGTCTAGAGCTGTGGCCACTGCCTTGCCGCACCGTGCTGGGCCCTGTGCCTTCCACCCACCGCCGTGCTCTGCCCCGTCCCAGTCCTGCCCTCCCGGTCCCGGTCCCATCCCGCTCTCCCCCATTCCCGTTCTGTTCGCGCCCCGTTCCTGCCCCGTCACGGTCCTGCCCTGCCCCGCTCCCCCTCCACCCCGTTCCTGCCCCGTTCCCGCCCGGTCCCGGTCCTGCCCCGTTCCCGCTGCTGTCCCGCGGTCCCGCCCCGCGCGCGCCCCCGGGCCAATGGGCGCGCGGCCGCGGCGGCGGGTCCCGGGAAGCGCCGGGCGTGTCCCGGAAGTGCGGGGGCGCGCGGGCCTGGGCGGATCCGCGGCGGTGTCGGCGCAGCGCGGAGCGAGCGGGGCCGGTACGGCGGGGCCGGGCGGGCGGGGGCGGCGGGACGGGC